GGACGTGTTCTGCGCGACGCACCCGTCCTTGATCGTGCACTTCGCCGTCGTGAGCTTAGGGTGCGTCTCCGCCTTCCCGATGCCCTGCGCTGCCGTCTGGCCGACGAGCAGCCACGCCGTTGCTACGGCCGCTTCGCGTAAGAACATGGTCGCCGTAGGGGAGCCGAAAAGAGGGGTAGGTATTAGATTTATGGAAGGTGATGTTCAAATAGGGACGTTATATAAGAGTCCCGATCGACATCGAACCCCGCCATCATCGCAGAGTTGATCTGATAATAAGGGGCCAGCTCGCGCAAGATGATATATCTGCCGGCCCCCTTCCTAGCAACGATGATCACCAGCCGACTGGGCAATATATGAATATGCAGGGTTCGATACCACTCCAATGCCCATCGTTGCATTAAATTGCCCTGTCTAAGTACGGGGAAGGCGGAGAACCCAGCTGCTGCATTAGTAAGATTCAAGCTCAAAACGTCTCTTGGAGACTATCCGGTGCTTGGAAGAAGGCTCAGGTCAGTAATCTCCCATGGGTGCCCAAGTAAATATGGATCGCTCTAGAGCGGCGAGGTACTTAGAAATAAATCGCCCTACCCTTTATTACGAGAGTGCAAGATTTGATGAGAGCAGAGAAGACCATCAGATCATACATAATACAATAAGGGTAAGATACCTACTTTGGCAATAGGCTCTAGGTACATCCAGAGCTAGGCGGCTGAATTGACTAGAGTGATATGCGGGCAATCCAATTGCTATCCATTCATGGATAAAAGGACCTACCAAAAGTATGGGGTGATCTCTCACTAGTTCATTGGCTAAACGACTTGTACAAGAAGTTATATTGTTTCGACGCTGTTTTATAGGTTAGTTTTCGAACGTAGATATATTTCATTCTGCATGACGAAAGATTAGTCAGACATTGACATTGTCTGAGCATCAACTGCACAATCATCTTGCAGAATGCCAGACTCAGGAAGATCATCGATTTTATTAGCAAACTATCTCAGACTTAAGTCCAGAATAATTAAAGTACCACCATTCTGAACACACTTTGTTGCTAGCGAGTTGAAGAGATTGCTATAGCACATCAGAGGTGCTAAGCACAGTGAATCCGAAGCAAATATAACTACCAGGTAACTATCAAGTAAGATCAACAGCCATGTCCATTTCAGGAACCAGTTATGTCAGGCTCGAATGAAAATGACATCTCTAGAAAAAGCGGGAGGGCTCGACCTGTATCTAAAGTGCTTGTCCGCAACTCTACCAGCGGCGTCTATTGGAACCTTCATTCGGGTTTGCTTTGGATCTAGCTACCTCGGCTTGCTTGGCAATGGCATATTCGTTCGTGCCTGGTACGAAATCATTCTTGGGGGGCTGTTTTGCCTTAGCCCAGTCTTCCACAATCTTCACCTTTGCCGTATCGTTAGGAAGTTCGTTGAGAGCATCAACGTCTAGAGCGCCGTCTGTAATTTGGTTCAACGCGAATCCGTAGATTTCACGCGACTCTCGAACGCGACACTTGGATAGGTTAACGGTCTCGACGTGCTGGACCCACGAAGAAGCGGACGTGTATTTAGCTCTGCATCCCGGGCAACTAAACTCAACGCCAGAGTGTGCAGAGGACTTCAGATGTTCCACCAGTTTTTTCGCTCGGCTAAACTTAGCTCTATAAGAATGTGAGACATGCTACATCAACAAGATTGAATATGTGTAAACTTACTTGCAAGTCCTGTGAGGGCAATTGTAAGTCTCTAGGATGGAATTCCAGAATACTGCCACGTTGAAGTCTTTGTGATTAGGATCAAGGATGCGTTGTCCCGTGGATTGACTTGAGGGAGCAGGTTCCTCCAGATCCTCAAAGGAAGATTGCTGAGGTGCTACAACCGGCTGTTTGGCCTTCTCTGGGAAAAGATTCTTCTTCTGAGCCCAGGCGTTGCCCGGTTTTTGCTCAAGATTGTTGTCATCGGTCCCAGTGAGTAGGTCAGGTTGCTTCGAACCTCCGTAATAATATTCCTGCTTCGCAGTCCTCGGAAACTTCTCGGGCTGCTTCTGGGCATCTAAACTCTGCTCATCCGTCCATTCATCACCCCAAGCATCTCTGATGTGAGATGGGCCGGAAAAGTCGACCTTTCCTTCGCCCTTCATCTGGGCCTTCATCAAATTCTTCGGGATAGCATCCATAACCGTGGCAATCCCTTGAGATATGTCTGAGGGGAAGATTGCATAACAATCGCCAGTCTCAATGTGATGGATCCATCCGCCAGTACTGGTGAAGTTCTTGGTACAGCCAGGGCAGGTTAGATCTTGAGCTGCTTTGTGATCCTACATGAATTTGATGAGTTGGAATCTTATATGATAGAGGTGTGGAGAAGTATACTTACATCCATGCGATGAGTGAACAATGCCTCAATTGTGTGGAATGACACATCACACATGCCACAAATGAAGTGGCCTACTTGGTGTTGATGAGTGTTAAGATCCTCTCTGGTAGGGAAGGTTGCCTTGCATTTTGGGCACCGCGGCATAGGAGGGGTGTTGGAAGAGCCCGTTCGAGACATCAGTCTCTCGCGGAATGACATTGTTACTCAATATCAGGGTGTTTGGCCACCTCTAGATAAGGAACTATCAATAAGGATTAAGATCAAATAACTGGCTGGAGGTCTGACTTAATAGTCGATGTGCGGGTGAAACCCCAAGTTTGGAAGAGAAGAGAACACGAATCTCTCAGGTTGTGGTTTTATTTGTGGAAGTTGAGATAAATGAGTTTTACCAGGAAGATTTAATATTAGAGGGAAGGGAGGGCTATGTAGAGAAACACGGTAAGGAAGGTATGAGAGATTTGTCACCTTCTTCAATGTTGTATCATTCATCCGAATATACAAACTCTAATTACTGTTTTTAGCGTACATTCCTATACAAATAGTTATCTCATCACCTCTTCAACATGGATCTAAAGGTAGTTGCGGTTTCCTTATACGTATTATTGATACATACTGGGCAAGTACGGGTTATCTAGGTACCTTCCTAGGTATCATCCAAAACAACTCGCTCCTGCTATTTGCTATACAATGATTCAGTGAGTAGGAAGTTTGATTGAAGGGAAGTGCTTGCAAGTTAGTTACATAGAAATAATGGTAGAAACCCGGGGAATATCTCATCATTCTCATGAGGCGAAACCTCAGGAATTCAATATCACGATTCACAATTGCGAACAAATTTAGTAAGCATGAATGTATGAAAGTAGCAATGAAACACACGTTTCTATTAGTTAGCCACATTGGTGAAACTAGAGTTAACTCCTCTAATACAAGCAATCATTTATTGGCATCACCGTGCCGCGAAGAAATGGTGAACGTCTAGAAAGGAGAAACATTATAAGCACGTGATAGATAGTTCTTATCGGTCACGTGGTCCAATTGTCGTCATTCGCGGCTTTAGATGGTTTCATGCTAGTACTGCGGTGGCTGCTTACGTATGCGGCTATTATTTAAGCTTGGAGGTACCCTCGTTCCTTTATCGTGTCGCATCAATTAACGAATACCGAATCAAGACAACCTGGCCTCGTCTACCTCGAACATAAGGAATCTCATAATTGTAACACCATCATCCGAACTAGAAACCGACACTCGAATCCTTCATATTATAAAATCCATACATCGTACTTTATTCCTATCACTTCTAGATACCTCACAATGACCTGCCGTGGTCAATCACCACCCCGCCAATAGAAGAGACACGTCGTGAATCATCACCACCAGCCAACATGGCCACTCCTAAGTTCAACACCAAATCCCCGACCATCCGGCGCATATGTAAGTACTTCTCCCATCCTACCCTCCCAACCCCATCTCCCTATCCACCCACCCACAAGCTAACCGCCCCAACCCCAACAGTAAAAGAAGCCGCCGAGCTCTCCACCTCACCCTCGCCGGACTACACCGCAGCACCTCTCGAGTCGGACCTATTCGAGTGGCACTTCACGCTGCGCGGGCCGCCGAACTCGTCCTTCGCCTCGGGTCTGTACCACGGGCGCATCGTGCTGCCGCCGACCTACCCGCTGCGCCCCCCCTCCTTCCGCTTCACGACGCCGAGCGGCCGGTTCGAGGCGAACCGGGAGATCTGCCTGAGCATCAGCGGGCACCACGAGGAGACGTGGCAGCCGGCGTGGGGGGTGCGCACGGCGCTGGTGGCGCTGCGCTCCTTCATGGAGACCGACGCGCGCGGCCAGCTCGGCGGCCTCGACACCAGCGACGCCGTGCGCCGCAAGCTGGCCTCCGAGTCCGCCGCCTGGAGGTGCGCCGCCTGCGCCAGGTCCAACGCCGACATCATGGCCGAGTGCGAGGACCGGTGCAAGGAGCTCGACGCCGAGACGAGGGAGGTCGAGGTGCCCGCCGAGCTGAAGATGGGCTTCCGCGACGAGATGGAGAAGGGCAAGGCTGCGGGCGCCGAGGCCGCGGGAGAAGATGCCGAGAGTGCGGAGCTGGCCGAGGGCTTTGTGCAGACGGTGCCCGAGAGGGAGGTTCTGCGGCCGACGCCAACCTCGGCAGCTCCGCGTGCCGCTCAGCCAGCACAAGGAGTCCCGGTACCCACGGGGCGAACACCACTACCGGATCCAGTAGGCCAGGGAATATCAACCACAACTACGACCACGAGACAAATAAGCCCGAACGCGGGAGTGCCGCCGTGGATAGACTATGCTATCGTGTCACTGGTGTTCCTGTTAATCGCCATGCTTGTAAAGATTTCGCTGGGGAACTGAGCTTGGCAGTGTAGAGCAGACATTGGGATTCGGCGTTACTGGCGGGCAGGATACAGGCGTTGTTGTTATTATTATTATTTACTAGTCAACGGGTATTGATACTATGACGTTAGATTACAGAACTCCTGAATTAGTAGTTTCGTCTCCTCAAGATACCTGTGACTTGCAATTGCCATAGTCAATATCACCAACCTCAGCTCCAAACCAAATAATTATCTTCTAACCCACCAAAAAGAAAATCTCATGGCACCAGACGGGATCGAACCGCCGTTTGCACGGGTGCTGGTATTAGACTAATATCAAACTAGCCTACAAACCACAACGTGCTGTCCTACCACTAGACGATAGCACCCCATGAACTTGAATGAGAAGTTACACTGTGAGCAAACATTATATGGTGGTTTGGCAAGAGAGTGGTTTATCGATAGGAGTTCCAACCAATCAGAGAAGCCCACTCCGAAATATACTATTGAAAGTGGAGCACTATTGAAATAGCTCAACTCTATAAAATAAAAAAGCATGTATTGCCGGCCTACGCGTTAGGTCTCAGGCCCTAGAGTCTTTGCGATGAGAATATCGCATGGTTGGCATGGCTGGCATGGTCTAAGCTATAGACAGTACGTAATAGTAACAATACGATCTATGGGGCGACACATGGAATATGTGAAGAGACTTAACATTGAGAATTGAGATATAAATCAGGGCATAACATTAGCGTACTTGGTACTTAGAATGAAATCACCGCAGAATAGAATTATTCTAGAACACAGGTTTACGTGAAGCACGATTTAGGTATTGTGAACAGTTCCCGATAACGGAATTGAAACCATCGTTCATTATGTTTGAGGTTACATACAGACCTCGAAAAGGTAACGCAACGCCTTGCAGCAAAATGCATGGGATATCATAGCCTTCCTAACGCCTTATTATGCTCCATGCCGTACCGCGCCGTATTGCGCAATGCATGGGTTAATATTGATACAAGTTACAATTTCTCACCCCCTTAGCCCTGAGAAACGACCTTCCCTGGAACATCCCGCGCCAGTGTTCCTACGACTAGCCACCACCACTCTCCCACCGTTGCACTTTTCTCCGAGCCTAGGCGCTGTAAGATGCCCAGCCTATCAGCCCAGTCCATGATCAGCTTCGCCTCGAACGGTTCGACAAACGGCTTCATAAGCACGCTTGCGGTCTGTGGTGTCAAAGGTCCCTTAGTCGCCAACCCCAAAGTCGTCATGCTAAGATACGTAATCCAGCGGCCTTTGTTGAGGTTTCCGAAGAAATCGACCCAGATGGGTATCTCGTCTCGAGGGCCTTTCTGAGGTGGATCCATGCGCATTGCTTGTCTAAGGACAGGGAGGTCCTCATCAAACATATAGGTCTCCGTAGGCAACAATTTGACGTTGAAGTGATAGTAACTTTTCGGGAACGTTCTACCGTCGTAATTGCCGGGCTCGAACCCAAAAGGAATATCGGGAACACCAATGCCTTCTACACGAATACGGCCATGAGCTTGAAGGTTAATGATTGCCATAATTGTACCATCGTTGGCAAGATATGGTACAACATACTCCTCGCCCTTGCGGAAAGTCTGATCTAGCGATGCTTTGAAGTTGACAGCCTGGATGAATTTCTCGACTGTGGGGGCCTTCTCAAGTTGCTTCGCAAAGACCCCGTGCAGCCTCAAAGCTTGGCCAAGTATCTTGCCTTTGCTTCTTGCCGCTATTCGTTCCGACGTGAGCCGATCGACAACCTTCTTAAGTAGCTTATTCGTTTCGGCCTCGTTTCTACCACTCAGTTTCAGGAGCTTTGCGCGGATTCCCTCTGGCATCTTGGAATCCGTTATCGGCGTAATACACAAGGAGCGGACCCACGATCTCGCGCGACTTATGAGCTCTTCTTCAGCTGTGGCTTTCCGGTTGAGAGGGACGGTGATAGGCTTGCTGGAGGTCGCTTCAACTCGGGAATATACCGAAGTTATGCTCTGAAACCATGTCTCTCTCCAATCTCGAATCTCGTTTACTTGGTCCTCGAGGAAATGTGTTTTCTCCAGAGCACGGCGAGACTCGGGAAGGATCACATTCTCGTGGGTCTCGAGTTTAGTTGCCCAGATGACTAGTGATCTCCAATCGTATGAGTCGAGGTCGTCGTAATTGAGAGGCTGGACTTCTCCAGCCTCGTACGCCTCTATAAACGATGATTGAAATTTCTTCATTAAAGCATCGATGTATGTCTTGCGTTCCCTGCTAACTCTAGGCCAGAACTTCCTCAAGAACGAGTGAGAGTATTGAGGAAATGTCTTGAGGATTAAACCAATGTCTACCTTCTTTTCCACACCTCCTAGAAGGGTTTTGAAGACCACGAACGCGGCTATTAAGTCGGTTTCGCCGTTAAGACCAAGCTTATCCTCGTTGGGTGCCGGTCTGTTCACACGTCCTCGATGCAGAATAGGAATCGTTCTAAACTGCCTCGTTTTGTATTGTATTTCTACCCGGGGCATCACAGCTGGTTGGGCCTTCCTTGGGGTTTTTGTTGCCTTTGGTTTGGACTTTTCCTTAGACGGCGACTCGTTATTCGAGTCCCTTCTTGGCCTACCCCTGTTGCGACGGACAGGGGTTGGCAACCCAGCACTCTCATCATCAGGCGGCGAGTTCTTGATGTCGTCTGGGATATTCTCGACGGTATACTGGGTTTTGTGCGGCCATTCGAGAGCAACGGGTTTCATGTTCGCTCTTGAAATATCAGGAGAAAGGGACACAAATATGTAATCGAACTCAGGTGCGATCGATCCGTGCAAGAGGATTTGAGATCCGTCGGGTGATTTCTCCCATTCCTCGATAACGCTCACCTCTCGTAGAAATTTCCCATACAAGGGATCTGCCCAGGAGTTAAACTGAAATCTTCCGCGGAAAGTTTTGATAATATCCCCGGCGCATTGTGGCAAATTTTCCCGCATAAACCACTTAGTGCTTGGCATGTTCCCAAGCAACGTGAAGCTCGAGTTCTCTTCGAAAAAGCTAGATGATAACCAAGGCCAGTGGCCTGGTATCTCGCTCTGAATCGCTTTACGTTTCGCAAACTTTGTACTGGCTTCATCCGAGACGGCGTTCGAGTCCTCATCCGCAATATTATCATGTTGCGCATCAATCATATTCGTATCCTCGTCTTCATCCTCGGATATTAAGTCATCGGGCACAAACGATGTAGAAATCGACGGCTTGACGAATCGGTTTACTATCATTGATTTGTGCTGTTCTGCCGTGCCATTGAAGATCGATTCATTACCGAGTTCTTCATCGCCGCCACCTAGAGAACTATGATCCCAAACAATTGACTCTAACGACTTCGCGGGTTTATCTTTCGAAGTTTTGCTAGTGGCCTTCGGCTTGCTAGAACGTCGCCGAGCCGAAACCAGCGCATTTTCGCGAGTAGTTCGAAATGAAGATAAAATCGAATCAATGTCAGGCTGCAATGAAGTAGCCTCTTGGGGCAAAGCTGACCATGTTCCGGTTTGGAAATCTTGAAGGCAAGCAGATTTCTGATTCCATTTCTCGCTTGGGTTTTGTTTCTGGTTCCATATGTATTTTGCAACTTTCCCAGCTTCCCAATATTCACGGTGATCACGGTGATCGCCTCGTTTCCGAGGTTTGGAGACACTCGACGACTTGGTAGTAGTGGAAGCGTCAACGCGGATCCTCTTGGTAGGGGCAGCGTCTATCATTCCATCTTCTTCAAAGGGTCGCTTCAAGTTAGTTGCATGTGTGGCGACATCAACCATGACATGCGCTGGGTACTGTAGAACTTCGACATCCTCAGTTATGCTTGACTTTCGAGGACGATTCTGAGCATCGCTTGGTCGCGAAGTATCTCTATGTCGTGACGCGAGTGCGTCAAACAGTTCGCCTTCTTCCTGCGACAACGAAAATATTTCCGGGATATACGGCTCCGGAAACATCTCTCTCATCTTCTCCTTGATGACAACTACTTTGGGTTCAGCCGCTAATTTTGCCGGATCAGTCTCGGGGGTACTATTTGCGAGTACGCAGCATTCCTCGAGCTTGCCCTTCTCATTGAGGAAGCAGAAGTGCACCTGCGCTAGTGTGCTAGCTTTCTCCATTCTGTTCACCACATTCTGACAGACTTTCCAGTCGGGAGGCTCTATGTCATGATGTCTTTTAGCCCAGACAGAAACCATAGCCTGGTATAAAGACCGTTGACCGGGGAATACGCCGTCGTTATTGTCAAGCAAATGCTGGATAATATTCTTAGTACGATCCCTGCGTAATGTACCGACAGTAGGGTTATGTCTTTTGAGGGTTTTCTTTAGGGTAGATTTCTGGTTCGGCTGCATAGCCTCTTTGCTCGAGTGATTGATAATTGACGCGCCTTGGCTGTCTCTTACGGCACTTGCATTGCCGGAGTGGTTGGTGGCTGGGGATTGGGTACCTGTTTCTAGGCTTCCGGCCACTGTAGATTTCAGTGAAGAGGGCCTTGAATCGACACTACGTGATTCCAGCGCACTATTCAAGTCTTCCACTTGACGTATATAAAAGGGGTCAAGCCCGACATACGTATCAGGCTTCTCCTTAGATTTATCTTTACGGTTTCGAACCGACGATGTAGCATGAGTATCAGTTTTCGCTCCGTGGTTCTTCGATAGAGAAGCCATGTCTTGTTCTTCTCGTATATTTAAGTTAGGTACGGCGCCTTGCTCATTGGCTCTGGAGAGTCTCTTGTCTTTTGCCTGGGGTGATGCTTGGTTTGTCTGACGCAGCTGGGGGGCCATGGCATATGTGCTAGGCGGTGCAACCTGGCCATTTCCTCGGCGCCTTCGATGGTCTACAATATCATAGGCTTCTAAATCTTGTAGGGTGACAGAGCCTCTGATAGATTTCGCGTCAGACAAGTCCTCGGTAAATTGGCTAGGTATGACAGTCTCACTAGGACGAGTACGTTTGGAAGGCAGGATGCGACGCCCACCAACTTTGAGGTTATTCTGATTCGCACTGCGATCCAAACTTTGCCGTTGTGACGAACCTCGGGTTCGGCCCTGCCTCTGGTCGTCAGGTATATCTGATGGCTCTGACTGAAGTATAGGTTTAGGCTTTGGGAGTTGTCGAGGGCGCTTGGGTGGAGGTATAGGTGGCGGGACGAAGGTAAGATTGCAAGCTGAATGGGATTTGTTAAGATGATATTCTAAACCGTTCGAATTCTTCCAGCTGTTGCCGCACTTGTCACACCGATATTCCGATTTGCCACCACGTCCTGCCTTCCGTTTGGGCTGTATAGGCGCTACTTCCGATGATACAGTAGAATCACCTTGAGCTACATGCTGGGACGGGCTTTGGCTTG